ATAAACTATATATAGATGATTTCCAACTGTGTTAATCAGTTCTCTGTTACTATGATAAAATACCTGAGATAATTAAGAGGAGAAGAGTATTTTTTTTAATTCAGTTTTAGAGATTTCTGCCCAGTCACTTGGCCCTGCCGCTTTGAGCGTAATGTTTCTTTCAATAGTATGCCCCGCTGATCTTAGAACCCAGTTCCTAAAGCTCCCACTATCTCCGGGTGCTGCTCTAGTTCAACTTTCAACACAGGCCTTTGGGGAACATTTCAGGGCCCAACTACAGCAATTTAACATGACTTGGCTGAGGAAATTTTCTGTCTGCTTTGAACAGGGTCATGCCTTATAACCCAGGACAGCCTGGAACCTAATAGCCCTCCTGCCTCTGCCTTCCATGGGCTGGGATCAATGGGTGTGCACCGCCACACTTGTTAATTTCTTTTTTTAACTTTACAATGGTGCAAAAGTGATGTATTTAATAGACACCTTTTTCATATTTTGATTTTTGATATTGCTAGACTATTAATATGCAATACGACTGTCTCTTGTAATCCCAGGCAGTGGCAGCTTGTCACAGCTCCCCATCAAACTTAAAGTAACAAGAATAAACAACTAAACTCCAGTATGTTAGGTAGAATGTCAGGAAAGTAGGAATAAGAAATGCATTTCAAGATGGGCGGTAGTGATGCACAGCTTTAATACCAGCACTCAGGAGGCAGAAGCAGGCAGATCTCTGTGAGTTTGAGACCAGCCTGGTCTACAGAGCTAGTTCCAGACAGCCTCCAAAGCTGTCTTGAAAAACAAAAACAAAAACAAAACAAAACAAACAAACAAACAAACAAACAAAAACGAATTTCAATGTATGATTGTCTCCATTAAGATTTAACTTCATTAGCCGGGCATTGGTGGCACACGCCTTTAATACTAGCACTGGGGAGGCAGAGGCAGGAGGATCTCTGTGAGTTTGAGAATAGCCTGGTCTACAAGAGTTAGTTCCAGGACAGCCTCCAAAGCCACAGCAAAGTCCTGTCTCAAAAAACAAAAACAAAAAGATTTAACCTCATTTTCAATCATGGATCACCTGCTAACTTTAAAATTATAATACTGGAAAAAATTATAATATGGGTAAGGCAGTGCTAATTCACACCTTTAATCGGCAGGCAGATCTCAGTGAGTTCCAGACAGCCAGGGCCGTTACACAGAGAAATCCTGTCTTGAAAAATCAAAAAGAAAAAAAAAAAAATTATAATATTGTATGGTGAAATTTATAGTTGTGTATGTATGTATACACACACACACTATAAGGCTAAACTAAAGGGTGGCAGGATGTCATAAAAGACAAGAAAAAGGAACAGAGAAATACAAATGTTTAAAAAAAAATAAGTACAAATTATATAGGCACGATGGCTAATCCCAGAACTTGGAAGTTGTAGGCAGAAGGATCAGGAAGTTAAGGCCAGATTCACATGCACAGTAAATCTGAAGCCCTTCTAGGGACTTCAAGAGATGTCATGTGTGATGGTGAATTTGGGAAGCAGACACAGGTAGATCTCTGTGAGTTCAAGGCCAGTTTGGTCCACAAAGTGAGTTCCAGGACAGATAGGGCTACATAGAGAGACCCTGTCTCAAATCAAAATTAAAAAAAAAAAAAAAAAAAAAAACCCTCAAGAAAAATAACAATAACAAAGTTATTATCTACTAAATACCAAATTATGGCTAGGGGTGCAGTTCAATGGTAGAGTGCTTGCCTAGCATGCAAAAGTCTCTACACTAAAGCAGAAGAGAGACAAAGGGATGAAACAAGAAAAAGAGTTAAATTAAATATTAATAGACTGAAAGCAAAAATGATAGAAAATGAGACCCAACTGTGTGCTATCTGGGAGACAGACAATTTAAATGTAAAGACATAGCTGAAATTAAATAGATGGGAAAGATGCTCCATGCTAACACAAACAGCAACAAGGCTGGAGTTGCTGTTAATATCCTGAAAATGTGTCTCATAAATGAGAACAAGTCAGTAACACAGCTTCAAAATAGAGCTAGCAGACACTGAATGAACCCAAGGAAAGACGACTTTATATTCTTGGATTTGCTTAGCAACTGAAAGAATAGTTAAACAAGCAAACAACAAAAAATATCAGGTCAACTATAGGTACATCTGAACCATACATTAGCCTCATCAACTTAAGTGACATTTGTTCAGTCCTATAACTACAGACCACCCATCCTTTTTTTTTTTACATGGACGCTGTGGTTTCCATGAGAATATCTCCCACAAGCTAATGTATCTGAACACTTGGTCCCTAGCTGGTGGTACTCTTTGGGCGTTTGGAAGTTACAGAACCTTTAGCAGATGGAGCCTTGCTGAAGGACTTCCTGTCTCAATTCATGTTTCTTTCTACCACCTCCTTTTGCAGATGAAATGTAATCACTCTGTGTCCTGACTGCCAGGGTGGCCTCACATTCCTACTGCTATGACTCTCCCTCCATCATGGACTTTATACCCTCTGGAACTCCAAGCCACAATAAATAAAACCCTTTCTCTTCTAAGTTGCTTTTTGCCAAGGTATTCAATCACAGCAACAGAAAAGGTACTAATACACACATGGTATGTTTACCAAGAGGCCTGGAAGTCATAAGCCATCTAGCAATTATAAGAATGAAACCAGCACTTGGGAGGCAGAGACAAGAGAATCTCTATGAGTTTGAAACCAGCCTGGTCTACAAGAGTTAGTTCCAGAACAGGCTCCAAAGCTACACAGAGAAACCCTCAAAAAAACAAAACCAAAAAAGAAAAGAATACAATCATAAAGAGTTATGTTCCTTGGCCACAGTGGAACTATATAATAAATTAACAACAATAAGATAATTAAAAAACAACAACTACTTAGAAATTCACACATGTACAAATATAGATTGGGCCAAAGAATTGTTTTAAAAAATTAAAAAGATATTTTGAACTAAATGCAAATAAAGCCTATGGAAAATTCATGAAATGCATCTGAGCCTGATGTCACAGGCCTATAACCCTGGCTACTCAGGAGGCTGAGATTAGATCACAAACTCAAAGCCAAGCCCAGAGTATAAAGCCAGCAAGAGCGATTAAGACTCTGTCTCAAAATAAAAGACACAAAAAGATTTCAGGATATAGCTCAGTGGCAGGGCACTTGCCTAGCATGCATGATGAGGCCAATGCATGTTCGTTTGCGCACGCACACACGCGCGCGCGCACACACACACACACACACACAGAGGCTAGAGAGATGTATTGGTAGTCAAGAGCACTCTCCAGAGGACCTAATTTGGTACCCAGTACTCTCATTGGGCAGCTTACAAAGCCAGTAACTCCTGGAGCTCTGGACCTCTGCAGTCAGCTGAATTAAAGTATGCATACCACAACACAGGGATACACACATACACAACAGTAGTATTTGTAAAGATGTGAACTGTCTTTAAGCCTGTATTTTCATAAAGCCTTGCTATAGACAACTTTAAAAAGGTAAATTACAAATCTGTGGTGATATATTGTTTATGACCTAATAAAGCAACTGGAGATCAAAATGAAAAGTTTGCCTCAGCCATAGAGCCAGGCAATGGTGATACACACCTTTAATTCCACCAGCCACACACCTTTAATCCCAGGACTCAGGAGACAAAGGCAGATGGATCTCTGAGTTCAAGGCCACCCAGGGATACATTAGAGTGAATCAGACTAAAAGAGAAATAGCTCACACAAAGGAGATCTCAGCACTTGGGATCCCATGCCTTTAATCCCAGCTCTAGAGAGGTATAGAAGATAGGAGCAGGGCATTCTGTATTGAATCTCAAGATACTTATTCTCCAGCCATGCTGAGGACAGGACAGCTCTTTCAGTCTGAGGTAGAGGTAGCTAGAGGCGGGCCACTTTTCTTCTCTGATCCTCAGCTTGAACTCCAATATCTGTCTCTGAGTTTTTGTTGTTTGTGCTATACAAATTGGTGATCTAAGCTCCCAATTTTAGAAAAGAAGCTTCATGAATCCAATTTCAAATGTGTAAAACTGTGGAGAAAATTAACTCAGAAATGATGGTGCATTCATTCTCTTGGTAAAGGAACCAAGAACTAATAAAGGGCAAACAACTGATTACTTAACTTTACAAAATAAAATACCACCAAGTATGAGGATAACTGATGAAGTACTATATACTCTGATAGTGAAGAACAGTATGTGTAACAAAGTAGGACAGAGAGGAACAAGGAGAAAAGAGCAGAAAATAGAAGAGACTCAGTAGTATCTGAGAGTCAAAATACTGAGAACTGATAAAGCAGAATCGCTAAAATGAAGAAAACACTCAAGAGGCCGGGTGTGGTTCCACACACCTATCATCCCACTTAAGAGGCCAAGGCAGGAGAATCAGGAGTTCAAGGCCAGTCTTGGCTACATGAGAAGGCTGAGGCAAGGAGAAGGGAGGGTGGGATTGAAGAGACACTAAAAAGAATACTAGATCCAAGTGTGGTGGTATGCACTTAGTCCCAGCTACTATGGAGGTTAAAGCTCCAGGAGGGATGACTTTATCCCGGGTGTTTGAGACTTGATCCGAAGTGTTTGAGACATGCTTGAGTGACACAAAAAGACCTAGTCTCAAGAAAGAGAAAAAGAGAACAAGAAGTCTTGCTAAGCAAAATTGAGGATTGAACAGGAAGACATAAAAGAGAAAGGAGCATGATATAGAACCTGTATGAAAAGAGAAAGTATATTCTACAAAAAAGTTAGTGAAGATGTGTGAAAGAACAAAATATGTAGGCCATAAACCTATAATGTTTGTTTAGCTCTTGTTTTTGTTTTAAGACAAAGCAAATGGATGGGGGGTAGCATTAAAGCATGAGCATACTGGAGCTATGTCTTCCCTTAGAGAGGGCTGGACTATATACCATCACCATGTCTGCCTTCACTTCTAGCCCTCACTCCAGCTACCAAAGGCAGGAATGAAAAGCCATTCCTGAGATCAGCCTCTGACTTATGCTCACCTGTCTGGCAACTTCTTAAGACTTCTGGTTCTTCAGTCCCCAGAAGATCTAGGACCCACAGCTCCTCCTCTTGCTCCAGCTGGGAGATCAGCTCTGGCTTAGGGACTGGAAATCCTGTTAAGGGTGAGGACCCCAAGTGAGCTGCTGCAGCTGGGGAGGGGGTGAGGGTAGAGCAGGACCCTGCCTGCTGGGTTCTCCACACCAGACAGGGAGCATTCTGCCTGAGTAGGAACACTGGTCAGGGGAGGCCAAGGAGCAAGAGAGTTCAAATGCCTCAGATGGGGAAAAGGATGACTGTGAGGTCATTAGCAACAAGGAACATAGTCCCTAGAACTAGGTAGACTGGTACCTGGGGACAAGAGCAGGGCCCTATTTTCTTTGGGAATCAAAGAGCCAAATGAGCCCAAAGTTCCTTAGAGACTTCCCACTGTGAGCCAGGACTCCAGGGCAGTTCTCACCCAGTGAGGCCACGTTCCCATAGTTCTCCAACATCACATCCCGGTACAGCGCCCGCTCCTGGGGGCCCAGCTGCTGCTCTTCTGCCCTGGAGAAGTACACAGCCACATCCTGGAAGGTCAGAGGCATCTCGCCCTGGAACGACAATATGCTGAGAGTTGTGTGGCTTCTTGATTTCTGATGGGGTAGCAGAGCTGAACCCAGCCGACCAGACAAGGACCAATTGAACATAACTGTATAAGAGGTTGTAGTCTGTATCCTGGTCCTTTCCAGCTTCACAATCTGCTCACCTCAGAGATCTAGAGGAGACAGCTTGTGACCAGGGCATTAGGGAGAGAGAATAACTCACCGAAGGCCTGGAGCAGGTCTTGGCAGCCATCTGGGCCGTGAACCACCTTGGAATCCGTGGTAGACAGGAGGCAGCCCTGGCCTGAGGCCTCCCCAACTTACTCTCGGGGAGAGAAAACAGACAAACTCAGCCTCATTCAGCTGGGGCAGTGAACAGATGGTCAGAGGAAGACGACAGACCTTTCTTCTGAAGGGGCCTTCTGGGGTGTACTGAAGCCGTGAAAGCCAGCATGTGACCTGTCCCATGCTGCTATCCAAAGTGCTGCTATCCAAAGTGCTGCTATCCAAACTGAGAACTGCCCCAAGCACAGTTCCAGCCATGCACCGAGTGGGTGCATAGCACCGCCTCAGCCTTAGAGGGCCAGCCTGGAAAAGGCTCTGGGCCTCACAGGGTGGTGGGTGTGAGAGGACACAAAATAGGCGGCGACGGTCAGCTCTAGGCAAAACCTAAAGGCCATCGTCCTTCACATCCATGTCTCCCAAGGCCGTGTCCCCTCCAGCGGCTTGTCCCTCCCACTGGTCCTCCCGCTGCTGGGTGGCCCATCTGTCCACGACCGCTGCCTCCTCCACTATCCCTCCTCCCGGTGTCGCAACATCATCAGCGCCCTCGGCTCTGAGACAGCCAGCCCGGGACCCGCCGAGTCCCTTGGCTCGGCACGGCCTTTCCACCTTTCCACGACTCGACGCCCTTGCACCTGCCTGTCGGCTGTCCGTGCCCACCTGCAAAGCGATAGGACCGTGGGAGCCTCACCTCGGCCAGGGCCCTCTGGACCAGCCACCCACCTACACCCGGCTGGGCCCGCGCTGTGGGGGCAAGCTGACTGCCGATTGGGGACGGAAAAGCCAAGCTGCGCACGCGCGGCGACGGTGGCCGTGCACTTCCGGAGCTTCTCTAGGGTCTCAGAGAATGGCGCCCCTACGCACGGGCTGGGCGGAGCCCGGGTATGCCCAGTGCTGGCGGAATCCGCTCTCTGGCCTCAACCAGATAAGATCTGTGCTGCTCTGCTTTCCCTCGTTGTCATAAACTAAATCACATGTAAAGCTTGGGTTAAATAACTAACACCTGGGCTAGGTGTCTGTGACTGGCCTGTAATTCCAGTGCTGGGGAAACTGAGGCAAGAGGATTACGAATTCCAGGCCAGCATGAAATATATTGCAAGACCCTTTGTCAAAAAAGCTAAATCAGGTTACTCTTCCAGATGACCCAAGTTCAATTCCCAGCACCCTCATGGCGGCTCACAACTGTCTAGCTCCAGTTCCAGGGGATCTGATACCTTCACACCAATGCACATAAAATAAATTTAAATAAAAACTTTTTTTAAAAAAAAGCCAAATTAGCGGACGTTGGTGGTGCACGCGTTTAATCCCAGAGCCAGAGGCAAGCAGATCTCTGGGAGTTTGAGACCTGCTTGGTCTACATAGTGAGTCCCACGACAGTCAAGGCTATGTAAAGAGCTTTTAAAAACAGAGACAGAGAGCAAGACTTAGTAAAAGAAAGGAGGCAGAGATGGCAGGGATAAAGAAAGATTGTTTAAAACTAAGGACTAACCTTTGCCCAAAATAATTTTTCACACTGCACACAAACTGGAGCCGCAGAAATTAGATGATGCCAAGTATTCAGAAATTAGACAGCAAGTATTCGTAACTGCTGAGCCATCTCTCTAGTCCTCAGATTTATTGCCACAGTGTAATTTTTTTTTAAACGTAGGAATTGTTGGGAAAAAAATCGATCATTATGTAATCTCAATTGTACATGTGGGCGTTTAAGCCAAATAGAAAAAGAGCCTTTGAACATTATGTAGCCCTTGCTGGTTGGTGAACTTGTACAGCTCCTCTGCCTGGGTCTTCTGAATAGTCTCCTGACTACAAAGCTTCCTTTGATTCTGCCTCTGAATTTGCAGGTTCTTTTCTTACTTGGTAGTACTGCTGGCAAATAACCAAACAGTTGCTGAGGCTGACAAAGTATTTTATTTAATGGTCATGAATAGAGAAATTGAAGTGTATCCTCTTCTCCCAGGGCAGATCTAAGGCCTGTAGTAGTGAAGTAGAAAAGACCAATTGTTGGTACTGGTTTGTAGATCTACTTTGTGGTGTACTTAAAGCACCCTTTGTACTGCCTGTTTGCCAAACATGACATCACTTGCTACCTGAAACAGAATGACATGGAGAAATAGCTGAAATAATGGGTCATTGCTTTTAGGAAACTTGTTTGAGTTTTTAGACTTTCAGAAGCTGCCCTGGCCTCTCTTCAGTCAACAGGTGACACCTCTCCCATTCTCACTGGTGTCAGAGTGGGTGCTTGGTAAAGACAGGTTCTCACTTTCTACCCCATATTTTCCTAGAATTCACATGTGCTGATCTTCCTGTTTCAGCCCCTTGCCCAATGCTGGGATTGTAGGCCTGTGCCCGCCTGGGTTTTTACTAGGACTGAGTTGTGTGGGTTGTGGTATGAATGCTGTCATTGAAATTTTGAGAGTTTTGTTTTGAGACAGTTTTTCTGTATTGCCCAGATTGGTGTGGGATGCTCATTCCTGCCTTATAATCACCATCCAAGCTACATCATAGTTCCTTGTAAAAAGATATTTTTCAGGAATCAGGGCACCACCTTTATTTTTTCCTAATTTGGTTAAATCTCTCAGAGAACCAGTGGGTGGTTTTCATGATTATAATGATAATGACCCCAAGGTTATCTTCCAACTGTCAAAATGGCCTCCAGATTAGATGGAACCTGTCTGATCAGCACTCCTGCACATTGGGGAGTATGTGATAACTTAGTGCTTAGCAGTTGAAAGCATGTGGTTACCGGTAAAGAGCTTTTGTTGATATCCTGGCTTCTCCCTCTCCCCGGGTCCTGGGCAACCTGACCCTGTTCCTGCTCCCGACTCCTCTCCTTCTCCTGCCCTGGTGGTTTCTCCTCAACACTCTATGCCAGCCCTCTCCTGGGCTTGTGACTATCCTTAGGGAGCCTTTCGTGGTCTACAGGCCTCTCTAATCCTTGGGTTCTCTCCCCAGGCGCTTCTCTGGGCAACCTTCCCTCACCCCAGGATCTGTCTTCCTGGTGTTATGCTGACAGCTCAAAGGCTGCCAAAAGTTGTATAGCTACATCGTGCATGTGTTAAGTGGCAGCATAAGGACTCTGCATGAAGAAACGATGGCCCAGCAACTCCATGACTCCAGTTTCAACAGTCCCAACCACTGAGCTGTGGCAAGAGAGCATGCCCATCCCCCACCAAAAAATAAAAAAATTAATGTCGGTTAAAAATTAAAGATAGAAAAAGATTAAAGTTAGGGTTGTCACTACAGCAAAAAAGATTTCAGGATGTGTCAATATGAAGCAAGTTTGAGTGTATTAAGAAAAAGATTTCAGGCTGGATGATGGTGCCAGGGTTTCAGCAGGCTATTCTCAGCCCTAGCACAGAAATTTCTAGAGGATTTTAATTCTTTGGTATCCCTGGTATAGTTTCAGAAGCCAGGAGATCACTGTGTCAGAAGCATCTCTGTCATGCTATCTTGACTTTTCTACAGGCCACATGTGGACAAGGGTCAAGCATCACCTGTTTTGAGTTTTGAGACAATGGCCTGTGCCTCCCACCTGTTCGTTCTCTTTCCATTTCTGCTCCACCTACCTCTCCGTTTGTGCCCTTTCCCAATAAACTCCATGTGGGTTAGTTGAGTTTGGTGGTTCATCAACCAAAGCTGCAGCAAAGAACATTTTTACCTACTTCTAGTAAACAGCATCTGGAAATAAACAGAAATGGATAGATTTGGGGCTGAGGCTGGTGACGGTGTCTTACCACTGAGCCACCAGCCTTTTAGTAGTGCCTGTGTTCACTGCTAAGCATGCCAGGCACCTTTTAGGCGAAAACTACAATATTGATACAACTTCAAAATGCCCTTTCCTCTTTTTTTTTTTTTTTTTTTTTTTTTTTTTTTGGTAGAACTTATATAAACTGGGACTAAAAAGATGGCTCAACAGTTAAGAGTACTTACTAACTTCTTCCAGAAGACTAAGGGTTCAAGCTCACAGTTGTTTGTGACTCCGGTTCCAGGATATCTGATGCCCTCTTCTGGCCTCTGTGGGTACTTCATGCACATGAAGTACATTAAGCAAAGTACTCACTGCACATGGTGCCTGACATACATGGACTCAAAATGGAAAAAAAAAATTTTTTTTCTAAAAGAAAAAACTTATATACTTACCTGGCAAGGGTGATACTATGATCACGAAAGGTGTTTTCCCAGGGCTTATCTATTGCACTCCTGTGATTTCCCTAAATGCAGGAAACTTGACTGCACAATTAGTGGTAGTGGGGGGCTGCATTTGAGCTCTCCCCTATAAATAAAAAAGGAAAGAAAATAGAATTTATGCAAACCAAGCATACCCAGAAGTGTTGCTGCCCTCCATACTAATTAATCAATTTATTATTTATTTCTTTTGAGTCAGGGTCCCACTGGCCTAGAACTCACTATGTAAACCATCCTGGTTTCAAGCTCACAGAGATCCACCTCCCCTGCCTCCCATGTGCTGGAATTAGAGGTGTGTGCCATCACATGTGTGTCATGGCTGTGGTTGTTTTGGTTTTGCACTCATCTAAGTAGGATCCCATTGTGCTTACTTAATTCAGTATAAATTCAGTATAAACACATGAAGAGTGTGTGAATTAAGACTAAAAAGGGTGCAGACTTTGTCTTCTGCAGACAGCTAAGCAAGGTTGGCAGGATCTGCAAGCAGCTGTGTTCCTAGGCTCCACAGTATGGCAGGAAATAGTTTAGAACATTTGTTGCTCTTGCTGCTGAAGAACCAGCACAGAAAGTATTGTAGGGAGAAGCATTGTAGCCTACAGCTCGGCACCACCAAGGAGAGCTACAAGGTCCCAGAGTCCCCTGAAGATGGCACTGCTGCCGCTGATGTGTGCCTCCAGAAAGAGGCACAGGCCATTGTCTCAAAACTCAAAACAGGTGATGCTTGACCCTTGTCCACATGTGGCCTGTAGAAAAGTCAAGATAGCATGACAGAGATGCTTCTGACACAGTGATCTCCTGGCTTCTGAAACTATACCAGGGATACCAAAGAATTAAAATCCTCTAGAAATTTCTGTGCTAGGGCTGAGAATAGCCTGCTGAAACCCTGGCACTATCATCCAGCCTGAAATCTTTTTCTTAATACACTCAAACTTGCTTCATATTGACACATCCTGAAATCTTTTTTGCTGTAGTGACAACCCTAACTTTAATTTTTTTCTATCTTTAATTTTTAACCGACATTAATTTTTTTATTTTTTGGTGGGGGATGGGCATGCTCTCTTGCCACAGTTTGTATGTAGAGACTAGAGGACAATTTTCATTCTCTCCTTCCACTTTTAGAGGCCTGAGGATCAAACTCAGATCCTCAGGTTTGACAATAAACACCTTACCTTCCAAGACATATCACTGGCTCACTGACTGACTGACTGGTGTGCATACGTGTGCATGTTATGCATGTGTGTGCCACAGTGCATGTGTGGGGAGGCCTGAGGAAAACTGTAGGAGTTAGTCCTCTCCTTGCTCTAAGGGCTTTTGTGTTCAGTACTTTCCCCATCACACTCATCCCATTCTTATCTTAAAAACCAATAAAAACTAGACATGGTAGCTCACGCCTATAGCCTTAGCCTAGTTTAGCTCAGGCAAAACAACTGTACAAGTTCAAAGCCAGCCTAGGCTGTACAATGAGTCCAGCTACAGAGTGATATCATCTCAAACCCTACCCCTCAAAATTCCAACACACAGGCATTTGTATCACACCTGTCAAAAGTAATTCAAGCCTGG